CCCCTTCCTCCTCCTTCTCCTCCTCCTCCTCCTCCTCCTCCTTCTCCTCCTCCTCAACATCATCATCGTCATCATCATCCTCAGCATCATCATCACCATCTTCATCATCAGCAGCATCATCAGCATCATCATCCTCATCATCAGCATCATTGCCATCGTCATCGTCATCGTCATCATCATCAGCATATCATCATCACCATCATCATCCTTCTCCTCCGTCCGTACGTCCGTCCGTGCGTCCATGCGGAGTCGTCGTCTTGAGCGTCATCGACCTTGGCGAGTGGCCACTGCTAATGTTACTACCTGGACTCGCTTCCCTGGCTTTCTCGGTGCTACGAGTTTTGACGCCGTGTGTATCCAGGAATTGTGTCGTGCACCTGGTGCCCTGGATGATCCGCATCACCAGGCACATCAGGCGGGCTACCGGTCTGCTCTTCATCCTTCTGTACTTACTGAGGCCGGAGGCTTGTCCGCAGGCGTTGGTGTCATGTGCATGTGGGCTACCGCACTGCGCCAGCACACCTTTCCCTTGGAATATGTGCCTGCCCCAGAGCGTTGCATAGCTACATCTTGGTTCGGAGTCGCACCTTTGGGCATTATGTTGCACAGTGTGTATTGACATTGTGATGGGAGCTCAGATGCTACAGAGGCCAACCGCGATCTCTTGTTCAGATTGGCTGCCGCCCTCAAGGCCACTAAGGTTCCATACATTATAGGCGGTGATTGGCAGATGTCGCCAGCCGAGCTACGTCGCACAGGCTGGGCTGAGCTTGTGGATTGTGTCATTGTGGCCCTCACCGTGCCTACGTACATTTCGGGCGACACGTCCTCCCTGATTGATTTCTTCGTCGTTCATCCTGCTCTTGTTCATGACGTTGCTTGTTAGGTGTTTCACACCACGGCCAGATCTAAGCACCAGCCCGCGGTTTTGTCAGTCCACTCCAGTTTTCAGCGGCGGTTGGTGCGGACAACCCGGAAGCCACCCAGCATTCCAGTTGATATTCCTCAGGGTTGCAATTTGCCGCCACTTGGGTATGAAGATTTTCATACCGACTCCGACGAGACAGCAGACTTGGACCATCTCATGTCTGTATGGTAAGAGCGTGCTGCAGGAGAGTTGCTGTCCCTTCATCAGATGGGTCCTGCCTTGCAGCCCCGCTGGGGACAGGACGTATCTTTCGTGATGGTGCCCGCTCGTCTCCGTTGTCATGCCCGTCCTACTGGACCTTTGGCTATGCGTCTGGAGCGCCTCACCCAGCTTCGTCAGAGAGGCACGCCTCGGGATTAGTACACGCGTGCTCACAAGACTCGTCGGTCTGAGCCTTTCTCGCGCGAAGGCCGACCGTCTGATGGTTGGCCAGCCTGGGTGGACTCTGTGCGCTTTCTTCCTGACATGCCGCTGCAAGGTATTCGCGGTCCCTGGCACGATCTGGATCTCAAGGCTCATGCCCTGGAGGAGTCTGCTGTCAAGGATCGTTACAAGCATTGGTGCGAGTGGGCAACTAAAGAGGCCGCCAGAGGCTCTGCCGCTGCGCTCCGTTTCATTCGTGGGGATGGCTCTTGGTTGGAGTTTCAGGTCGACCCCGAGGAGACCGAGGAACCTCCAGGTACTCCTATGCATCACATGTTGTGTCGCCAGAGGTTCTGGCATCCTATTCGGGGCGTTGGTCGGCCCTCCGCGGGTTCTCCGCGGTAGCTGTGGGACCATCCGGCGAGGCGCGCGTGGCCGCCTACGGTGCTTACCCTGGTGCTTATCAATGCGTGCTTGGCGCAGAAACTTTGGCGTTGCTAGTTGTCCTACTGCATGCTTTGCCAGATTCAAGTTGTAGATATGTCTATGACAGCGACTGCCAGTGGGTGGTGGATTCTTGGCACGCCCCAATTTCTCACGTTGTTTCTGGTTGGAGTCCCCACTCGGCATATGGTCTCGCATTCATGCTAAAGCTGCCGACATCGGTTACTACAGCATTCAAGTGCACAAGTTGAAGGCCCACCTCACTATCTCTTCACCTGCCCAGGCCGCTTTGCTAACAAAGGGGATCGATCATGCTGACAGGTTTGCTAAGATTGGTGCTCGTTGCCATCCTGTTGGTACAGCTGCTATGGAATGTCTGAGTAGGTCGCATATTGTAGTAGGGCACGTTGGCAAACTCGTGTTCTACCACGCCTCAATGAGATTCCTCGCCCTCCCCGGGCTGTCCTCCCCCTTGGCTCTGTCCACAACTCCCAGCGGCTGCTGTGATGCCGCCAACGGGAGGTCCACATGAGCTGACATGGGACTCTTCTGTGCAGCGCTTTAGGTGCATAGCCTGTTGGGCTTCCAGCCATTGCAAGTTCGAGCTGTACAGGGCCCCTTGTCCAGCCCCCCATGGATTCGGCCATGTAGTCATGCGTATTGGTGGATACGTCTTCTGTAAATTATATGGTTCGTACTCGTCCACGAATGTTGGACACCTTCACAAACTGTGCAACAGGCGTCCAAAATCGAAGCCCGGCAAGGAAAGGCTCGGTTGTTTGATGAAGGGACTGGACCCCAAGAGTAAACAGTCCATTGGCCATGTGTTGCCAGCAATGACGCGGTTATATGATGAGCTGGGGGACCCAAAAGTGGTGTCCCCTAGTCTGGCACTTGTGCCCCATCTTGTACCTTGTGCCTAGTAGTCTGTGCAGCCAGTATTGCCGCCACCAGCGGGCGGACAAGAATCGCTTTTTGTTCGAATGCCTTGGTGTGGACCACGTCCTGGCTTCGTCTCCTAGCCCTCCGCAGGAGCCGCAGTAGGTGGCTTGATGCTCCCCAGTGTTGGGGCCTGTGCGGGGCGAGCGGCTCGCGCAATGCGCGGTCGCCCCCTCTCCTTGCCCCCGTTTCCCTTTTCTTGGACTTGCCTCCTCGGAGGCAGGCCACCGTCCTACTAGTCCGTCCGTGCGTCCGCCCGCCCGCCCGCCCGTCTGTCCGTCCGTCCGTCCTCCTCCTCCTTCTCCTCTTCCTCCTCCTTTCTCCTCCTCCTCCTCCTCCTCCTCATCATCATCATCATCATCATCATTATCCTCCTCCTCCTCCTCCTCCTCCTCTTCCTCTTCCTCTTCCTCTTCCTCTTCCTCCTCTTCATCCTCCTCCGCCTCCTCTTCCTCCTCCTCTTTCTCCTTCTTCCTCCGTCTTCCTCCTCCTTCTTTTTCCACCCTCCTCCTCCTCCTCCTCCTCCTCGTCCTCTTCCTTTTCCTCCGTACCCTCCTCTTCCTCCTTTTCTTCCTCCTCGTCCTCCTCCTCCTCCTCCTCCTCCTCCTCCTCCTCCTTCTCCCGAGACCGGACGGTCCTGCCCGTGACCCCCGTCAGGGGCAACGATATGGAGGGATAGGCAGAGGGGGGGACGTATCGACCCCCAATCGCCCATTGATCGCCGATAGGGGCCCGATAGCCCCAACCCGCCCAGGAAGGTTCGGATTCATTATCGAAGGCTCATCGCCGATCTCTCGGCGACGTATCGCCGATCCCGGGTCGATGTGTCCCCCCCCTGTGCCAGTCCACCCTTATCGCTACCCCTCAAGGGCTGACCTTTCGGCGCCTGGTGAGGCTTCGGGGTCAGGCTCGGCAGTCCCAGCGGGTCGCACGGGTCTCCCGCGAGGCAGGCGCGAGTCGAGTGCTCGACAAAGTTGGAGCCCGTGCGAGTCGATGTTGGACCGAATGCGGATTGCACGATAGTCCGATGTTGTGATACGCCATGACAGGGAAGACCCTGCCTGTGAGAGAGCCTCGAAGCGCGGCGGCCTAACCCTGTAGTGGTCAGTCCAGGCCAGGGGGCCCTGTGTCATGGCGTGCCTCTTCAAATCGTTGGCGGTGGACCCAGGAGGAGGTCTGCCGTGCGGTCTCACGCTGGTTGTAACAGAAAAAGTCCGATGTTGTGATACTGGTGTTTTGGTGAAGTTTTGGTGGTGGTCCGGATGCGGATCAAACGCAGAGTTTCCGTGGCTCACATGCGAGTCACATGTGAATCACACGTGGATCTGGCGCGAAACCATCTGCAGCATGCGCAAATCGCATGTGAGCCGAACGCGCTGAGTTCTAACAGAGTTAAAATCGAGTGCATGAGTGTGTTCGGTGTTTGTTTGTACACACGAGAGGCGCACGTCCAATTGATAAGCGGGTTGTACAAACAAGGGTTACAGTACGAGCTGCATTGTCAAAACTTACGCGTCGGAGCGCGATTGGGATATGATGTGCCCCAGCAGCAAACAGCAGGGGGATATGTTGCACGGTGGGTGACCAGGCTTCACACAAGCGAAACGAAACACGATTCTCCGTGTAGCATCGACAAGCGCGATTACAATCAGTGTGTTGTGTACTGTTTTCCTCGAAGGCGTAAATCGGCAATATATTACAAGAAAAGAGCAATGCTGGACAATGTAAAGCATAGTCGTGCTCTAACAGGCCGTTTGGCGTTTTATGGTGAAGATGACGCCAGGGTGACATCTGACACGATATGCGTTGATGGTGACGCACCGGTTAACAAGTGGCACGGTCTCTGCTAGAATCTTATAGCATGGCATGGATTATCATTGCAAAGCAGAGTACAGCGCAGCGTAGCACCAGCACAGCAGACATCAGCATAGCACAAGCATATCACAGCGATGCATCTGCACAGCGGAGGCGTGGCATGGTGCAGCACTGGCACGTCACAGCTCCCCCATGTTATCGCACAGCACAGATTCGAAGAGATCGGCATTGTGTGGCATAGCCGCATGACACAGAAGGACACATAGCAGCACAGCACGGCACACACGAAGGAAAGCGGCGCGCTGCCGTGGAGATGGTCAGAACCTCTCCACCGCTGTGGAGAAGAGTGTGTTTTTTTAGGTCTGCGGAGAAGCGGTATCGGTACCGTTTGGTTGCCCCAGTTTTAGAGCGTGACGCCGTCGCCGTTGAGCTCTCTTGTTTTGGTCATTGTCTGCCGCTCCCCTCTGCCGCCATCATCGGCCACGTTACCAGCACTTCGCCAAGCGAGTGCTCGTTGAGGGAAATTGTTTTGGGGGTGCATGTGCGTGTTTGGATGTGTGTGTGTGTGTGCGGGCGCAGCGATGTTTCTACAGAGGTGTTTGCCCTTCTGCGCAAAGACCTTGGTAGGCCTCATCAGTGCTCACTGTGACCTATCGGCGCGTCGAAGGAAAAACATAACAACAACAAAAAAACGTATGTGTGCGGATGTGCGTGTGTGTGCGGGTCTGCGGGTGTGCGGGTGTGCGTGCGGGTGCGTGGGTGCGCGTGCGTGCGTGCGTGCGTGTGTGCGTGGGTGCGTGTCTGTGTGTGTGAGCGTGTGTGTGTGCGCGCGCGTGGGCCGGCAGCAGCCAGGGTGGCAGGGTGCAGCAGTGGAGGCGCAGCGCAGGCAAACAGCGACAAAGATGGAGCCGGGCAGGAGCATCTCGATCCGTTCCCGATCCTTGGATCCTTTTTCCAGAGGGGCCGGCTCCGCGCGCTCCTGGCGTGTTCGGGGTGCATGTTCTCCGCCTGACCGCGGTTCGCGCGAGGCCGCGATCACGAGAAGTGTGCGCGCGCGCGTGTGCGTGTGCATGCAGAAGCTTGCCAATGAAATTCCGAGCACCTCCCTCTTCGATGCTGGAGGGCCGAGGCCAAGGTGCAGCAGAAAAGTCGTGGGGCGCGCCGCTCGCGCAGCGCGCGCGGTGCGATCAGGAAGCCGCCGAAGAAGAAGGCGAAGAAGCGCGCGGCGAAGGACGCGGACAAGGACGGCGGCCAAGCTTCTGCGCTTCCTCCCCCCCCCCCTCGCTGTCGCCTTCCTCCCTGTTCAAACTGTGGCTCTCGCCTCAGCGCCGCACGCATGCGTCCTAAAAGCCTGCAACAGCTTCAAGGATGGACGGGGGGTCGTGCTCAGAACGGGACCCTCGCCTCATCGCCGCGCACATTGTTTCAATGCTTTCTGCCGTTGCAGGGATGGACGGGAGGCCGTTTTCAGACAGGGGCTCTCTCGCCCCAGCGTTTTTGAAATATTGCAGCAGGCTGCAGGACAGAGGGTGGCTCCTCTTCATCAGGAGGGAAGAAACACACAGACACAATGAATCGTCGACTCCCAGGAAAATACGGGACACTCTAGGAAGTGGGGGGGACGACGAAAATCCCAAAAAATACTGGGAGACATGGGGAACTCTGGGATTTGTGTGTATTTGTGTGTCCCTGGGCCCCTTCATTTCAGCACCGGGCTCTCGCTTGAGACGTCCTTCGTGTGATGAAGACCCGAACTGTCAGCACGTGCAGCCCGACACGGAGCCAGGGCGGCCCGTGTTCGAAGTCGAGATCTCGTCGGTCGGGTGCTCGTGTTGAGGACCTTCCTGGGGCCTACCTGACGGATCTGTTCGACTCTAGTTCGACCCCAGTTCGACCCCAGTTCCACTCAAGTTCGACTCAAGTTCGACTCAGGGTCGACACAGGGTCGACTCAGAGCGACGGTCGTTCGACGCAGCCTCGACGCACGAACGGAGCGAGTGTCTCCAGGAAGGTCCCCAGAATGAGCATCCAACGTTGGGCTCTTCCTCGTGCGCAAGACTGTGCAACCGTTCTACAGATTGAGGGCGGTCTTTCCTCGGAAGTGGGGCCATCGCCCATGGCGCCAACATCGCAGAGCGGCTTTCGGTCGGAAAACCATGCGATGGGCCTCGATTATCCTGGAGAATTTCGCTCTAGATTTCGAAGTGAATTTCGTGCGGATTTTTTGATCAGGAATGAAGATAACAAGAATCCACGCGAAAATCACTTCGTTTTTCACGCGCCGCTTCGGGCAGAAGTCCACGCAGAAATCCGCTGCAGCACGTCTGCAAGGCCGGTGCAATGAGATTGTGCAACCGTTATACGGATTGAGGGCGGTCTTTCCTCGGAAGGGGGGCGTTGGACAAATCTTTTTCAACTGCATGCTCACAGTCGTTCGTTTGCCGGAGTTTGCGCCACAGGCGTGCAACGCAGTTCCTTGTCAAAACGGGGCCCTCGCCAGAATGGGGGGCCCGTGTGGTGCTGGAATTTCAAGGGAGCGCTCCTCGCAGTAAAAAGGAAAGTTTGCAGGAGCGTGTGAGGAGGGGACTTGGGACGGAAGGCCGTATTGCAGCGTCGCTCATGTATAGTGGGTGTTCTTTGGTCCTCCTCCTCCTCCTCCTCCTCCTCCTCCTCCTCCTCCTCCTCCTCCTCCTCCTCCTCCTCCTACTCCTCCTCGATCGGACACTTAGGAATAGAGTCTGAATCCCATCCAGCTGGAGCAAGAGCGGCGATGGGACAATGATAAGAAACATAGCGAATGAAGCGACACTTTCGCGGCAGCGACGGAGCCTCGTCGTGCAAGTGCAGCTCCACGAGGATATCTCCCAACACCCCCGTCACAAGGTCTCCTCCTCCTCCTCCTCCGCGACCTCCTC